ACAGAGCAAAGATGAAACAGAAAAGGAACAGAAGAAAAAAAAGAAAAAAAAAACAGACATTTAAAGAAAAAGATAGAAGAGAGAAGAAGCTAAGGCGGCCTATGACGCGGCCTTCGTGTCGACCGGAGATAGCAGGATCCACCCTGGAGAGCAGCGATCTCGTGAAAAAAAAGGGACCGAAGGGTTAAGAAAGAAGTTGCGTAAAGAAGATTACAAGGAGATGGTTGCGCGCGCTGGAGTGGACCCAAGGAGCTGCGTCAGGAGAGGCGGAACGAGCTAGACGAAGGATACCGGAGGATAGAGTGGATATCGGCCAGGAGTGGATGTGGGTGCCGGAGTGGGGCGGAGTAGCGGCGCGAAGGAGAATGAGGTGGAGACGATGATACCTGTAGGAGACATAGCACACACGCACACACACACACACACACACACACACACACACTCACACACAGCACACACATCATCACACACACACACCACACAACACACACACAGCACACACACACACACACACACACACACACACACACACACACACACACACACACACACACACACACACACACACACACACCACACAACACACACAACACAACAAAAAAAAATAAACCAAAAATTGAATAAACAACAAACAAAAATGAAGAAATGCATAAAACAAATAAACAGACGCGCCACAAAAATCAAAACAAACCAAAAGAAATCAAAACAAAAGCTAAAAAAATAAACCCCGTAGACAACAAACAGACAAAACAAGAGATAGACGAACGCTAAATCAGCTAAAAAAGCACAAACGACAAACAGACGAAACCAAGAGAGAGACGAACGCTAAACCTCCACGCCGAGCGTCGAGAACAAGCACAGCGTCGGCTCCCCCATTTTATTCTCGTATTGAGCTCGTCGCTGTTAACTCCCGAACTCTAATGAAAATTATGAGCAAGTTCTTCGCAAAGTTTTGTCGCATTTTATGCAGAGCGAGCGCCGCCGCGAGACTTAAGTTAATTTTCCAAGTTAGATAGAATTGTAAATCATGGCAGTCTGCAGGCGGCCATGGGAGCTTCCCCCTCCTCCTCTTCCTCCCTCCGCCTATCTCTCCTCTCTATCTCTCTCTTCTTTCTTTCTGTCTTTCTGTCTGTCTGTCTGTGTCTCCTCCCCCTCCCTCCCTCCTTCCCTTCCCTCCCCTCCCTTTCTTCCTTCCTCCTTCTCCTTTCCACCCCTTCCTTCCTTTCCTCCCCTCCCTCTTTCTTCTTCTTTCTTTCTTTCTTTCTTTCTTCTTTCTTTTTTCTTTCTTTCTTTTCTTTTTCTTCTTTTCTTTCTTTGTTCCTTCCTTCCTTTTTCCTTCCTTTCCTTCCTTCCTCCTCCTCTCACCCCTCCCCCCTCCCTCCTTCCATCCTTTCTCGCGACGCCATCTTCCTGATCACGCCTCATGGCCCACTTGTTGGAGGCTCATGACTCGCAGGAAGAGCCAGGGGGAGGAGGAAGAGAGGGGGAGGGGGGAGGGGGGGAGGGAGGGAAGAGAGGTTTGAAGTTTTGGGGCAAATGAAGGAGGAGGAGAAAAAAGGAAGAAGAGAGAGTAAGAAGAGGGGGGAAGGGAAGGGGGGGAGAGAGGTTTGAAGTTTGGGGCAATGAAAGGAGGAGGAAAAAAAAAAGAAAGTAAGGGAAGGAGGAATAGGAGGAGGAAGAAATAATAAAACAGAGTGGGAAAGAGGAAAGAGAGGTAGAGAGGAAGGGAACAACAAACCACGACAGGGATAAGAAAAAGGGGAAGGAGAAAGGAAGAATAAAAGGATGGACAAAGAGGAAAGGAAGAAAGGTAGTTAGGGAAAAAAAAAAAAAAAAAAAAAAAAAAGGGAATGGAAGGAAAAAGAGATGGAGAGATAAGAGAGAATTTGAGAAGATGCCAAGGGAAGCCCTGTTGAGAAAGAGAAATGGAATAATCCGCTAATGAAGACGAAAGACGAGTCCCAGCGGGGGAAGCGAGGAAGGGGAGGGGGGAAGAAGGGAGGAAGATGAACGGGGAGAAAGAACAACGGGAATTAGAGGAGATGCAAGATGAAAAGGTGGAGAGAGAGGGGGGGGGAGAGAAGGAAAAGACGGGTGATAATGCAGGAGACATAAGGATTCGGAGGAAGAGGAAGAGAAGTAAGGAAAGTAGGAGAGGGGAGAGAGAGAGAGAGAGAGAGCAGAGAGAGAGAGAGAGAGAGAGAGAGAGAGAGAAGAGAGAGAGAGAGAGAGAGAGAGAGAGAGAGAGAGAGAGAGAGAGAGAGAGGAGAGAGAGAGATACGAGAGAGAGAGAGAGAGAGAGAAGAAGAGACGAAAAGAAACCTACTCCCCCCCCTCCAAGCCAGAAGCCAGCAAAGCCAACTTCATATCAACTTGCCACAAATCCCCAAATGACTGTTGCCATTGCAGTGTTATAGCCACACGTCACTTAAGTACACCCCCGACCTCTAATCACGGGGTTAATTATGTGCTCACTTGATGATGATTATGGTGAGGACTGGTGGTTGAGAGCAATCGGCTATTAGGTGTAGTGGGTGTCGGAAAATATTCTTATATATAGATTTAGAGGAAGGGAGAGAAAGAAATGGAGGGGAGGGAGGGGAGGAGGGAGGGAGGGAGGGAGGGAGGGAGTGGAGGGAGAGAAAGAGGGATCGAGGGAGGGAAGGAGAAGAGAGAGAAAAGAGGGATCATAGAGGGAGAGAGGGAAGGGGATGGGAAGGATGGACGCGATAGGAGGGAGGGAGGGAGGGAGATAGGGAGAGAGGGAGGGGAGGGAGAGGATGGACGGCATAGGAAGGAGGGAGGGAGGGAGAGGAAGGATATAAGGACAATCAAGGGAAGGAGGGAGGGAGGGAGTGACAGAAAACAGTGTGAGAGAGCGAGATAGAGATAGAGACATGAGAGAAGGGAGAAGACAAAAATAGAACCAGAAAGAGACATAGATGCATAGACAGATGGAGAAAAAGATAAATAAACAGGAAGATAAACAGATAGATACAAGACACATATTACACATACATAACAAATTTTCTCCTCACTTATATTTCCGATCTAATTTCACAAAAATGTTTACGAAGTTACGAAACGAGCCCAGTGAAACGCAAGCAAATATGTAAGGTAAATAGGGTCAAGTATTTTCAACATCGAGGCAATAAAAGCAATGAAAATACTTGCTTTAGGAGACTGCAACGGATGGGACAGCAACACCAACCTGGAGGAGAGAAAAACATCGCTTAGTTAATCAACAATAATAATGAAAAATAATTATAACCTATAATGATAATGATAATAATGAATAATGATAAATAATAATAATAATAATATAAATAATATAATAATAAATAATAATATAAT